CAATTTTTAGTTACATCAATAGCAAGAAAATTTTAAGGAAAATAATAATAATTYAGGAGGGCAGTGAGAGACTTTCAAGTCTCTCTTGAGAGACTGTCTTGACAGGAGGAATTTGATGCCTCTGGGAAAACAGAATTCATTTACACTAACTCTATTCAACTGTAATGACAAGCCTTAAAAAAAGCTCTGAGATKTTGTACTTGTTTTCTTTATTGCTATCTTTTAGTTCTTATTGAGTTTTCCTTATTCTTAGGGTGTGGGGAAGAGCCACAAATTCTGCTGATGAACGTAAAATAACTAATTCTTAATCTCTACATGGTTATTTGCTATCACTAGGAAAGACAACAGTGCCAAATTTTTCCAATACAGCCTAGATCAAAYCAATAAATTTTACAGATGCTTTTAAAGAACTTAGAGAGTTCTTGTCCAAGTTGGGTTTGAACTGCTGCCAGCATCCTGCAGAGCCCCRTCCACAGCCTGGTGTTCCTCGGGGACTTCAGTGAAGACCATACTTGGTGTCATAGTGTCATATGGTCTACATAGTAGACCATACTAAGTATATTCACAAAAGAGAGTGTTTGAACTGAACAGTTCTGTATAATGGGTGTTTGTAGCAAAATCTAGGGACTGGTTACCTGCTCCAACACCTCTGCCCACCATCATTTTTTGAGCATTTCAGCCCTAAGCAAGCTAGGAACAACCCAATCAGTTTTTTTTCCTGTGAAGACTTTGGTTTTGCCTGAGGCCAGAGGTTTCTCTAGAAGTGTGCCTAAGAGTTACATGCTACAGTATCACAGGGTTTTGGAGAAACCAGGCTTTAAAACAAAATTATTCAAAGCACTTGCACATGAACTTATACGTAATATATTACTCATAGAAAACTAATACAACAGAACATTTGACTGAATTTYCAGTCACTCAGAAAATCTCAGTTAGGACAGTTCTCTCTATGTGTTCATTCATTTTCAAAATTATTTTGTTTTCAAACTTGTCATCTCTCCTCTGCCCCACCATATTACAGCTTTCCCCTCAATTCTTTCCTGAGCATCCCACCCACTACCTGCACTCCCTGCTCTTAACTGCTGTTTTGCCTTGGTTTTCCCCTCTTCTCTGGCCAAACCACACCACCAAGCTTCATCCTAGAGTTGGTTTGTGCAGATCATAGTCTGCTCATGTCTCTTCCCCGAAATTCTCTTTTTTCTACTCTCTCTATAGAAGAGAGAGATACTCTCCTCTCAACTCCAGTATCCAGTTGCACCAACTAACCATCATAAGACAGGTTAAAATAAGTGAAAAAAAACCAAGAAGAAAATAAAGACTGCCTTCCTCCAATTTTAAAGTTACARGAAGCATCTAATACACAAAAGAAAGCACTGTATTGAAGGTCTGAAACCGTTGAAGAGGAAAAGAGAAACACCATCACTTTAGCGATCTTTGTTGCTTGCCTAAGATGTGTCCTTCACGGACTTGACTGACCGGAAAAGGATTCAACACAAATTAATAACTGCTAAACTGCTTCTGATCTGCAGATCTTATTGTCCTGCTGACAGATCATGCATGTGAAGTAGAAGAGCTGATACAGGACAGGGAAACCAGCAATGAACCTGAGAAAATTGAGAAGGCGCAGCTGGAATATAAATGGACAAAAAAACAGCCTCTTAAAAAGGCACAACAAAAGGAAAGAAAAGAAATAGGGAAACAGGTAAAATCTAAAAATAATGGTAACCTCCAAGAAACACAGTGTGCTTCCTCCAAAATGTGTGCATGAGCTTTTGAGCATGTGGTTATCATCAGATTAGCAACAACATGAAATAGAATAATGCCAATATAAATTACCAAGAGTACTAAAATGAATGTTTTATCTTTGATAGGTTATATCCCCATTCAGAGGTATTTAAACCCTGATTAAATGAAACCCTGAAACATCCACGGACAGTCAGACTGAATCATCCTTCAGGAGAAAAGCACTATATGTTTTCATTACATTTCAATTATGTAGCCTGTCCAGACCTTAARGATTTACACTGGGATTCATATATTTCCTTAGAGTTGGACACAGATATAATGATGATGTTAGTGCAGCAGACAAATGTTGACAAAAAGAGGCAGCAAAATTTGAAGCAATCCATTCATTGGCTTACCTGTGGATATAAACCCAGGCTATTTTCTTTCTTAATTTATGACAAAGACACTCATTCCTGAAAGCAGTGTTTTAAAACTGTTGATTAAATCTCCTACAAATGAAAAYTGTTGTTTAAATCTTCTTAAACGTATGTTTACTTGAGTACTTCCATCAATGAGCCACAGTAGCTTAGATCTTATGCTGAATGTGTAATTTGTCCAGGCAAAAAAAAAAAAAAAAAAGTTTTTTAAAAAGTTTGGAGCCTTCTTAATGAAATGTAGAAAATGCTTAGAGAAGTAGAGGGTAATCTGGTGAAAAAGACAGATGAAATCAAGATACTAAGGGAAAGATTGATCACAAAGCAGAATTGCAGAGAAGGAAGATGAAACACTAGAAGCAGATAAGTTTATCTAGTGAATGTGTAGAGGAAGAGAGCGGAGAAGATAACAGATCTAGAGACAAAGACAACAGGATGGTAGTTGAAGAGTAAGGTTGAGAGATGATTTTTTGTCTCAGGCATTCACTGTGCTCTTCTGATATTGGCAAGGCAATGGTGCAAAAGCAGTTATGCAGCAGGTAGGAGAAGAACCAAGACACCCTGTTACTTTTGCAATTAAACAGCAGACTAGTACTCCTGAAAACTGCAACTGTGCTTCCTGGTTATGTTTAAAACTTTGGTCTTTTTGGGCAAGGCAATCACTACTGTCCTCAGTTTCCTATTTATAAACTAGGGTGAATTATTTTGTGTCCCCTTCTTCCTAACTTGGTTATCTGAGTTACAAGAGGATCCCTATCTCAGTATGTTCCTGCCTAGAGGCTGGCAAAATAGCCTGACTGGGACTGTCACACAGGGGCTTTGCAGTAATCACAGGTAAGTAAGGCAGAGARGAACAGGAAAGCTGAAAAAGCTGCCAAAAGTCTTGATATCAGGCACTAAAAGTGATTACTTAAAATGTATATATTTGGGTTCTTTTATTTTCTTTCTGATCCTATCAAATTACTCAAGTCACATTTCAGCTTATTTTGTATTTATTTCCTTGAATCTTACTCTTACTTCAAAAGAAAGTGATTATTCTCATACAAGAGCATGAGCTTTCTGAAAAACACCAGCTCTCATCAGCCCTTTGATAAAATCATAAGAACTGGAAACACTGAGAGTTCCTATTGTTTTAATAACCTCTCTTTCATGAGYACTTACTTCTTATTTGAATACTTATCATCAATAAAAATTAAAACCTTATGTTTGTGAGGAGTGTGAGCATATTTGGAATTAAAATGAGTGACATCCCTCAAAAGTTAGRGCTTTTGAAGGAAAGCTCCTTCTGCAAGAGTATTCTGAGTTCAGCATGCTACACAACCAAGAAAACAAAGGAGAGGATATCTGCAAATGAAAAGCAGAACTGGAAAAAAGATTCTGTTTGGTTCATCTGCACTAGCAGTTGTATAATTTTAACTAATAACAACACTAAGAAAATGATTGCGTTTCTAATATAGTCAACAATACTTTTAATCAGTGGTTTAAATTACAGTTCTTGTTAATTTAATTTTCATTATTTGCTATTTGCCTGTGCAAATAAGGTGTAGTTTTCAGAAACAGTTCGCTGTTCTGAGAAACCTCTGAGGAGATGCAGAATTGTGATATATCACAGACATGACAATGTAAACCACAGAAAAATATGAACAAAGGGGAAAGACAAAGGTATCCTCTATGGCATTAAAGTTACAGAATGCTTAGAGATAAGGAACAGCTAATATAGGAGAAAAAAGTTTATAATTTGGAGAAAATGTCTGTGTTTGAATTATAATTTGCAAGTGAAATGTATGAACTTTACAACTATCTAACTAWAGTTCCATACTCAAACTAGATGCTCTTCTGGACTTCTTTTTTTTTTTAATATGGAGATAGCCACAGGCATTTATTAAAATTTATAATCTTCCATTCAAAGAGCATTCCTGCTGAGTTTAGCTACAGCCTACATTTCTATCCACATAAGACATTAATTAAACACCTGGAACAGAAATGTTGTCAGTGGCAAGGCCAAGGCATCACCTGTTCAATGGGATGTGAAGTTGTCAAAGGGGGCTCTAAGCCATTTTGGAGAATAGAAGGACATTGTGCCTAGACGACAAACAAATCTTAACAATGGGTAAATTGTGATAAGGAACGAGGCATGCATATTTTATCATGTTGTCTTGTGCTGTTTATGGTGTTATTTCAAACAGAGTACTTGTGGGTTAAACTACTCAAATACTTCACACAATTCCGCTTGGACTCTGCTTGGAAAATTTAAGTCCTGGGAATGCTCTCYGTGTTAGGAGTACAACAAAGATGCCATGGTGTGCCTCAAGGTAGACCTGGTCCATGGGGATGTGTACTCACAGGAGCTGCGGAGGGTATGGCTGGAGCAGAGGTGTTGGAAGGGTGAGGAGCGTTGCCTGGGTGCCATGCTCGCATCTCAGTGCTTATGGAGCAGAGTCTGTGCCAACGGGGAAATAAGAAGCCGGGTCAAGTGCTGGTTCACTGCATTATTTACACCTCCGTGGACTGAGTAACAACGGAGATCTGTGCCAAAGTGGGCAGTGGTCACGATCGTGTTTTCGGAAAATGGTCGCCTACCTCCTTGTCCGCTGTGTCTCACATGACATACACAACACAAGTTGTGTTCGTAATTCTATTAGACATATATAATACTAAAGCCTTTCCCATGCTGGTCCGCTCATGGATCAGTCCTCACGGAAGTCTGGCTGTCCAGAGCCTGACATGGCAGCAGTGCCAAGCTGTAATGCAGGAGGCGCACGTAAGGAGAGGAGGCCGTTCCCTGGGACACGCACCCCAGACACTCCCGCACAGCCCTCGGCAGGTGCCGCTCGGCCCCACCGCTCTGCCCGGCCCTCCTGCCCCGGCCCCGGGGCCCGGCCCTGCCCGCTGCTCGGGTCCCGGCGGCGCTCGGGGGGCAGGGCGGGCCGGGAGAGGTGGCCGCAGTCCCCGCCTCTCCCGCGGGCTGCTCGGCGCTAAGGCCGGGGCCGCAGGAGCAGCTCTCCGGCGCCGCGGCCCGCCGGAGCCATGAGCTCCCACCGCAGCGAGAGCGACTGGCAGGGGCTGCTGAGCGAGGTGAGGCGGCGGGGAGGCTGCGGGCCGGGGCAGCGGGCACCGGGCAGAGCGGCGGGCGGGCCCGGCTGCTCCCCGCGCCTCGGGGAAACGCCGGGGACAGGGGCACAGCCGCCGGCAGCTGAGCCGGCCCTCGGCCGAGCGGGGGCACGGCTGGAGCGGCGGGCGGGGGGCGCCGAGCTGTGCCGGTCACGGCTGAGCTGTGCSGCCACGTCTGCCCATGGCCCTGCCCTGCTCGGGCTGCCGCCCCGGCCCTGCGCGGCTGCGGAGCACCGACAACAAGCGCCTGCGAGCCTCTCCGTGTATGTTACCCGCCCTGAGGCTGCGGAGAGCGGGTTGTAGGCGCTACTGCTGCGGCTGATTTGAAACTGCCGAGGATTCCCTGGGCTGCAGGGTTGGCCGAGGCCTCGGGCCGCACTGCTGCCCGCCCGGAGGAGCAGAGCAGTCCGGCTGCGGCACCGGCCTGGGTGGCCGAGCTGCCCCTGTCCCATATGCCTTGTATTCTTACTTACCTTAAATCACATATGGATGGGTTTTGAGACCCATGGTGACATTTATACAATGGGAGAAAAGAATGTGATAGCACGGTGCYTATGAGCCTCAACAGGTGGAGGATTTCCCAATTACAAGAATAGAAACTTTATTGTCCACTGCGTCCCCATTAAAAAATCCACAGTGTTTACAGGTACACATTTTTATGTAGGGTAAGTTCCCAAACTCAAACCAACTTGAGGTCAGTATAATTTCGATGAGTATTATTAAAGCTGTTTATTAGCTAAACTGGCCAATAAATGAAGTAGGCTAGCATGTTGATTTTTACATTGCATTACTATAAAAATAATATTTTTATGCTTACAGGCAGCTGACAAAATATCTGGGCAAACAGAATGGGCCTGGATAAACCTGGTTCAGTCTAGTGTCCTACAGTACGATGTACACAGGTGAATTCCTCTGTTTTCAGAAGGACTTTGCYTCCATTATGTTAACGGAATGTAAGGTTTAAAGCCCTGATCTGTCAGAAAGATGTTTGAGTTTAGGGTGTTGAACTTGTGACTAATCCTAGTTATTTCAGTGGGAGTTTGCATGGACATGGATCTGTGCTAGTATATGGTACATCCACAATTGGAGTCTGTCTATGCACATAGTACTTGCAAAGACACAAAATGATCCAGGAGAAAGTGAAAAGTGCACTTTTAGTAGTATCCTGTTTGTGCAGTGTTGAATCTGATGTCTCAATTCTCAAATAGAGTTTTATTTGGGCTGGGGGTGGTTTCACATGGGAGGGAAGGGTAAGAGATGAGAGACAAGTCACGAGGTGTGTTCAGAAGACATGTTACTATTCTTTGCTTTAAAAAGTAATTTAGAATTAGTTTGGAACATTTTTAATTTTTATATAGTTTAACCTTAAATCTCAGTCCTGAAATGGCACACTTGCTTCAGTTTAGGGGCTTCTTGATTGTAGCAAGGTTTAATGACTGTGCTAAGCTACMGTCTTGTAGGTACTTAAGCATACATATAATTAATTTTGTTCAGAAAAAGTCAGAGGTCTAGTGACTCTATATTCCACCTCTCCTTCCTTTCTCTCTGCTTCCACAGCAGGCTTTGCCTTCCTCTTCCTTTGGCTTTGTGATTCACTGCATGTGATTTATCCATTAACTCCAACATCCTAATGGGTCTGTGATGAAGTGGCTCAAAATTCTGAAGTACTTTGTAATAAGGTTTTTGAATTTACCCATCTCTCAGTGGTACAGAGTTTCTCAAGGCCTATTAATTTCAGTGTCTACTAGGTATTTTGTTTCCCCTCTGCATTTCACAAACGTTTTGAAACTTTCAAAATACAAGATAACATAGGCAAGAAAAGACATGGTAGCTCTAAACAATCACCCTCCCATTGCTGATAGTAGGCAGTTAAAAGATGGTGTTAAAAATCTTGGTGCAAAAGACCACATGCTGGTGGGTTCCAATCTGTGGTCACATTCATTCTCATTTGCAAAAGCCCAGTCCTCCAAGTTTGAAAGTGAGGAGAAATTAAAGTACTTGTCAAAGCAACTAATTTTCAAAACTCTGGCACTGCAGATGTTAAGAAAAGGGATAGGTTACATGCTTGGTTCTTATCCACAAGCACTTGTACGTATTTATTTTTGTAGGTTGTCTTTTTATTTTATTAGATAAAAAGACTTTTTTTTCTGTTTTAGTCTTTTTCTGTATTTACTTTTCTTTTTCTTTTTGACTTTTGTTCCACTTCAGTGTCTTTTCCTCTTTACCCTTCCACATATCTTTTTCTACTTTTATTATGCTCACCACTAACCTCTTGCTTGCTTTTTTGCCTCCATGTTTGTGTATTTTTCCACTTACTCTACAGCTACACACATTTCAGCCCCAGTGTGCACCTGGTACTCTGAACAATCTCTGCACCACATGTACCTTGAGCATTCTTTAAACTCACTGAATAGATGACGTGGGTAAGAATACTGGGACAAAGCCAGCTTAGCAAATACTGAAGAAGCATAAAAAAGTCATTATTTCGATTGATAATCTCACAAACTATATGTAAAAGAACTCACTTCAGAAGCAAAAATCCACATAACTTTTACCTGTTCCTTAGCCAAATTCATGTATTGGTGATGGATGGATATATATTTAAAAGGTGAATTACTTTGTTGGGTTACCGTGTGATTTTTCTGCTTGGACTCCTGGTTTTCCTCTAATGTTTATATCAGTCAATGACCCATGTTTAAGGTATTTAAAAGCTGGTGTAAAGTCTTAGGGTGAAGACTTGATGAATAACTGCTTATGTGACACAAGAGACTGACCTGTGGCAAGAACTTTCTTGCTGGTGACCCAAGTCCTCCATAAACAAATTATTTTAATAAACCTAAAAATACTATCCAAAGAATGCATTTCATTCCTCATCCCCATCCCTGAGTTGTTCAAGGTCAGGTGGGATGGAAGTCTGAGCAACCTGGTCTAGYTGGAGATGTCCCTGCCCATGGCAGCAGGGTTGGAACTAGATTATCTTCAAGGTCCCTCAGATTTGCCAACTTCTAGTATTATATCCAATGTTAAAATGCTTCTCTTTTGCTTGTCACCTCCCACACGTTAGAGTGTTTAGTGTTTACTATTCACAATTACTCATATGTGACTGCACCTCCTAAAGTTAGTTTGAAAAGATGTAGTTTCTGTTTAATTTGTCATTCACAAGAGACTATTTCTTGGCTATTCACTGTGTATGGTCTTCAGCAGCACAGAGGGAGGTGATGTGCTTGACTCTTGAGCTCCCTTGCTTAGTAATTTTGACTTACCAAAGTGTTAAGCAGTAGCTCTAGTTGAAATAGCTAAATGTTCCAGACATGAGTTCTGAAAACTGAGATACCTAGCCCACTTGGAACTGGTAGAGCACACCTTACCTTGGTTGCATAATTTTTTATGTGGACAAGAGAGAAGAAGAAGGATAACCGGTGAGATTTTCATGTTCGTAATACTTCTATAATATTGTCATGTTTCCTTYTCAAAAAAAGTATGAAATGTAATTTACCAAACCTATATGAGGGGACCCAAAAGGCTTTGGAGCCACTAGTTTCAGAACTTTTTTTAACATTGACAAATGCAGTGGCTGTAGAGAAGAGCAAAGCAGAGTAGATACTCTAAAGTTCCTGATTGGTTGGGTTGGCATTGTAATGACTTTGACATTTGGAAAAGGAAGTGGAAGCACAAAAAGACCTGGCACTGTGATATATTGCACTCCAGAATTCTCAGGAGCTATGGGAGAGTGCTCTGAAGACTTGCATGCTGGACCTTTGCACARCAAAATGAGTATTTGCTTTCCCTAGTTTCCATGTGTCAGGTTGGACTGAGACCCACAGCGATGTGAAACAATCAGAGAGAAATTAATAATGTAATCTGATKCAGAGCACACTAAACTTTTAAGGGCTGGGCCACATTGCCCAGTAGCATTAACTATTAAACTGGGGTAATTCCTAAATGGTGAGTGAAGATGATGTGGTGTAATATTGTCATCAAGACAATCAAGACAATGGCATTCTGAGGAGCTGCTTATATCAATTCTATCATCAGTGAATTACACCAGCCTGCTTTGTGTTTCAGCAGCTGCGAAGCAGCCAGTGAAGCAAGAGATGGGCAGCAGGAGAAGCAGAGTTGATATGGTGGGATAAAACCAAGGTCACTGCATTGTTTCAGGTTTTATCAGAGATGAGGAAGTGAGATGGCAAGCGAATGGCCAGTAATTGTGTATTTCTCTGGGTCTGAGTGCTCGACTGCTGGACTCTCTCAGATAAGTTAACAGTTTAATCTGAAGTCAAAGGGAGCACCATTATTGAAACACAGTCAACAATATATCCCAAACAGTGAGGTTGCAATGCGCTTTGGGACCCTTCAGTTTCTACAACAAAACTGTCTCCAAGAGTATAATCAGAAGAAACTTGATTAAACTTAAGGCAGTTTGKTAGCAGTTGGATCTCACTCATGTTAAAAGAGGGTGAGTAGAGTTTCATGATTTCTCAGAGAGCATGGCAGATTATAGGTTTCATGGGCCAATGTAATGTAGTAGCCCTTCAGCATTTGAGGGCACAAGGTCCTGGAGTGCCAAGACGACACAAAATATGATGTATAGTGGTTCCAAAGCGCAGTTTGGGCAGTATCTCTGCTTCTACTCTCAGAAAATGAGGTGTTTCCCTTGACATTAATTGCCATTAAATACCAAAATATAGGCCAGTAATTTGTACAAAGAAAAAAAAAAACTCTGATAGGAATTCAGTGTGTTTGTTGGTTTAATAAAAAAAGTCTAAAACCTTGACTGTGTCCCAGCTTCATCAGATTATTAGACCATGTCTACAGCGTCATTAATGAGATCTACCCAGATTTGTCACTAAAAATAGCTATGGACAAATAGTAAGTGTTCAGTGTAGAAGGTCACCTTGCAGCACTTACACTCTCCTGTAATGTCAGTCTCCTTTTACTCAATTTCACTAAAGTAGTCATCTGGCTGTAAAGCAGTTCAGACAGTAATGTAAGATGTCATATATATTCCTTTAATTATGATCTTCCTTAGAGCAATTATAATTTACTTTATTGCAGATAACAGCACATTGGTAGATAAAAGTCACTAGACAGATAGGAAAAGTTGTACATTGTAGCTTTTAGATTGAATGTATAACAGCTGCTTGTGTAATTTTTTTTAATTCATAGATTATTTTGAACCAATAATTAAGAAGAAACAAAAGACAGTAAGAATATTTCATAGCAATTATAGTGCATAACAGAGTTCACTTATCTGTCTCACTGATAGTACCTGAAAGTAGGYTTTCCTTCAGTTGCAGGGGAAGAAATCTCTATATGAGTGAATGCCAGAAGCAWCTACTGAATACTTTTTTCCAGACTGAGAAAATTTGCCTTACTGCTTTCATTGCTCCAAAAAGACTTGTCACACTCCTGTGTTCTTTTTGTCAGCATACCAATTTTATTGCACTTATTTGTCCATATAAGGGAAATTGTTGATGGGACTCAGTTATTTCYGTGAGTAAAAGCCATTTCTGGTGTACAGTTATTAGGTCAGTTTATGGCCATTATCGGTGCATTATTTTTTAACATTCATATAYTGAATGACTTCTTTGAGGTCTGTCTTTGTGAAATTTGGTTTTTCTTCAGTAATGGTAATAGGAACTGCAAACATAGCTCTGTTGAATAATTAGATTCCACAGAAATGCTGTGGCTTTATTGTTTCTTGTACCATAAGCCCATGGAAACAAATTATTATGTTTTACTGGTTTTATTCTATTTATTTGGGAAAGTCAATATGTGTAAAAGGCAAAAATTAYTTCAAAAAGTCTTTTATGTGGTCATTTATATAGTAAAACCTAAACAATACATTGAGGAGAGATGCCAGCATCATCAGTATATAGTTCATCTAGTTAAAACAGATTTTAAACAAGGAGGCCATCATTATTCCTTTTAAATTAGACCCTGAACATTACTGTTCCCACAATCTGTTTATGGTTCCTTATCCTCAGCCTAATAGGTAGTGGAGAATTCCCCAGCCCYTGCCAGTGCTACTGTAAAGGTGAAACCTTCTTGTATGCTCTGAGTGTGTCGTTTGTGGAGGGCTGTGACTCGTGGCAGAAGCAAGATTTGTTTAGTGCCAGGTCTGTATTAGGGTTAGTGAGTACTGGGCTTTTTTACAGTCTTATGCACATGCTCTAGTTCACTTCTGACTCTCATACACTCTTTGACCCAGCAGCATTTGAGACAAGGCTTGCAGGCACCTGCGGGTGCTGTCTAAGGCAAGRTGTTTGGCTTCTTTCCACTCCCATTGTGTGCATGGTATGGGCTGCTCCGCTCCACATTGGTGTCAGATGGATTGGCCAGCTTCATTCTTCCTGGGATTCTTCCTGTTAAAGGAGCAGGACAAGCTACTTGGTTCAGGGCTTGAGGCTGTTAGGGTTTTTTTTTTAAGTGATTGTGAGGTTTGCTTTTAGTAATTTTTATTTGCAATTACTCTATTGGATTGTTAGTATTTAAAAACAATTTAGCAAAGGCATATTTTATAAAATATAAATATTTAAATTTATTTAATTAAATATATAGGGGATGAAACAGGGAAAAAAAGAAGAGAAATTGACAAATATTTCACTGTAAGAGAAGGAATTATTTTATCATGTTTGAAGCAGTTTACCATGTCACTATAATCACTTGCTGACAATATTAAAGTTTGGCTTCTCATACCTTTCAGTCCCTTATCAGGGGATTTGACATTTGTGTAAGGTATCAGTAAGGACATAAGTACATAGGTACACTTGCCTTTGTTGATGCCAAGGCATCATAATCCAGAAAATTTATGGCAGGATTTCAACTTCAGTATTGCCAGAAATAAAATTAATCCAAGGTGGAAGTGTCCTTTTTGAGAGTTCAGATCCTTCTTGGAACTGCTTTGCTCATTCCCACTTTTTTGCAACTAAGCATTTGCCATTTTTGGAAAAGGTTGGCTGTACTAATATGCCAAACTCACTTTTCCCTTTCTCATTGACTTGAAATTGAGGTTAACAAAGTTAATTCCCAGCAAGTAGTACATAGGAAGAATGATTTTTTTGTCCCAAAGAACAGCACTGRCTTGAATAGTATGGAAGTGCTGATGTTCTTGCTTTGTGCAAGAACCCATAATGACAAAGTATTCTTGTCAAAGGATATAATGAAACTATAAATTGTTTTCATGACTGCTGTGGTATTTGGTCTCTTGCAGTGCACATTCAGAAAGTGTTTAGAGCCATGTCTTATGTCAGTAACATCAGAAATAGAAATATATACTTTACCATGAGCAGTGTCAAGTGATGGGTAATAAGAATCGCCGATCGAACGTCGTGTTAAGCGAAAAAAGTTACCTGAAAGTTCTGATAGCTAACATTGATGACATACGTTACTCTTACTTTCAATGAAAGACAATGAAGCAGATCAGACTAATGCAGAACAGCTAAGATTTGCAAGTTCTGCTTTGCTTAGTGCATGAGCCCTATATATAAGAGGTGGTGGCTGCAGGAGAAGGCTTATCTCTCTGCCTTGCCTCCCCTTATAGGTGTTTGCAGCATTCCTGCATTATTTCCCRTTCATTTTCCTCTAACGAGCATGTGCCTGTAGTATCACAGTGATTAAGTTTCTTTAACCTGTGCCATTAAGGCGGAGCACTGTAATTGTTTCAGACTCAAGGCAGATTYTGGTTACCATTCATGCTGCCCCTTCTGCTGTGACATGGTACCATTGCTGGAAGGTTGAGCCCAGAGGCCATTGCTGGTAGTGGGGAGAGGGTCGGCACTGGGAAGTGAAGCAGGAGCTGAGTACTACGAACACATGTGGAAAAGGGAGTTTGCAAGTCCTTCTTCCTTCTAGCAGCCTTCCCAGGGCTGCTGGCCAAATTGCAAGGTTCCTCATGCTATTGCATATGAGGAAAAAAAGGAAAAACTCAAATTGCTAAATTTTTGTAACTCACAGTGGTCAGGTGAACACGTGGCCTTACAGATGGATTTCAGGCTTTCTTTACAAGATAACTTTCCCGTGATTGTTATTAATAATCTAAGATGACTTAYGGCAGACTTCAATCTTGTGCAGTCTTCCTTCAACTTTTCAGGGAAAAGCCTCTTGTATCCAGTACAGCTTGGGTAGAAATGGCTTGTTACATGTATATTTTCTTTTCTCTTCTYCAGTATCTGGTGTGCAAAAGGAAGCTCGAAAGTAAAAAGGAGGCATTGCTAATCCTGTCCAAAGAGCTGGACACCTGTCAGCAAGAAAGAGACCAGTACCAACTTATGGCCAACCAGCTGCGGGAACGACACCAGTCTCTGAAAAAGAAGTATCGGGAGCTGATTGTAGGTTGTTCTTTATGAAGACTGTATGATTGGGGGACAAAGGTGAACCTCAAAAAAAAAAAGGAAAAAAGTCCATAATGGCTGCTGTAAAAATGTTTAGGTACTTGTTTGCAGTAGCCCTGCAGTTGTACAGCCCTGATCATATTACTCATTTGTTCTGCATTGATGAGGCAGTGCTTATTATATAGGACACAGAAAGACAGTTCATGCTCTGAGGAAATTAGTTTCAGTGATAATTCCATTTAAAAACTGACTGTGGAATTATTATTCCACAGCAACTTAATGTACCAGTATGAAAATTAATGCAACACAAATTTGTAATAACCTGCTGTTCTGGAAATGTAAACACATCTTCAACTTTAGAATTTTTTATGTTGAAGTTACTATTACTGGTATTAAACAGTAGTATTTTTTTTAAATCGATAATATTTTAGTTAAAATAAATGTTCTAAAATTATATTTGTGGGATTAATAGACTTTCTGGTTTCAGAAGTAAGCTGCCAGTAAAATATATCTGTTTATTTGTAGGATGGGGATCCATCACTTCCACCTGAAAAGAGGAAACAGGTAGGATTTATTTTTCAGTTGATGTTATTTATCTGCTACAAAAGTACTTTGCAAAAGAATAAAAATATTAATTAAGAAATCTGGTAAAAAAGCAAGCATTTCTGAATATTGAAAAGCTCAGTCTTTAAACTGTGATTTTTGCTTTTGTCTGCACATTTCACTCTGAAATACCTGAACTATGATTAATTAGAATATATGGCTATTGCTTTCATGTTCACCTGAGACTGAAATTGGTCAGTGTACAGAGACTTAAGACTGCTCTTCTTSTTGTTTATTCTTCTGTATTGAGTCCTAAAATGGGTTTGTGACAGGACTTCTCATACTTAAAAGTAAGCTGAGAATGCACAGTCTGCATTCCATAATTGTTAATTTATTGTTGTGAGTGCTGTTTTCCATTAAGTGTTCTCCCAGGCCACTTGGACTCTATGAGTTATAAATGGTAAAACAATGATAATTGCATTTTATGGTTCCCCTGAAAAACTTTTAGCCTGCTCACATGCATTTTTGTTCCCAGATATCCACGTAGTGTGTCCCAGTTGTGGAATGTTGGTTGTCACATCTTAAAATTGTCTTAGTTTTTAGAGAAAAATGGCACCCAAAATGCATTGTGTGGAGCAGGGAGATGAGGACAACCTAAAAGAACAAAAATAGTTGCTGTAACTGTTAGTTCTGGAGTCTTTTAACTATGCTTAAAAGATGGTTATTACATTCTCTTAATGGATCAGAAGTTTTACTCATCACCCTTTCCCTGAGAGTTTGCATGCAATACTTGCTATTTGCTTAAAATTTCACGGCTTRGGGTTTTGGTTGCTTTAAACTAAACTTCCAGAAGCAATATAATTACTCCTTCAGGCACTTAAACAAATAGCTGCCAAGAAGTCAGTGGCTCAGTGTAGAATCGTTTAACTTCCTCATTATTTAGCATAATTTATTTGCAATTCTGTTATTTCAACAGAATTCTAATAAAAGTTTATGACCAGATACAATTTTGTGTATTCGGAATGCTGCTGAGGAATATCCAATTGAAAGAAAAAAAACCCAAGGCAGTATATGGATCATTACAGAGATAAGTAGGAAGGGAGATTTGCCATCCCATAGCTATTCCAATTCATCTTTCATCTTTCAAAACAAATAAAACTGACACTTGTTTCTAAAATACTAGCCAAATTCAGTCTAAATTCAGAAGCTGTGATTATATTAAGTTTTGGCAATTTGTCATACCAGGACAAGTGTCTGGAAAACCTTTAATAATTTACCTAGGAGTCATCTTTTTTTTTTCTCTGAGGAAGTTACGTATTCATGTTAGGTAGCAGGGAAGAAAGAAAAATCTTGTCTTCAAATGGGGTCATTGATAGGTTCCCCTCAAGAAAAATATATATGTTAGGTTGTACAGTAATAGACTGTTAGTATACTTCCTGAGTTTTCATTTCCCTRAGAAATGTGTCTGTAGCCTACAAGGTAGATAACCTAGAGTAGTTAGTGACACGTTTCTGAAGAAGATTATAGTTYTTTGCTTTGAGAAATGTATCAGAGAATAATAAAAGAACGTTATGAATATTTTTCCATTATTACTGTACATACGTTTCTTAGCATTTTGTCACCTAAGAAAGAGTAAGGTTCTCTCTCCCTTTTGTGCTTCTTCCATTCCCTTTTTTCCTGGAACTCTAGCTGCCTGCTGGGAGAAGTTTGTGGCCTCAGTCACTTTATAAAAAGAGATCCTGATCCTCCAATGAATTCTACATGACACAAAAGTGCATGCTGTTTTCATGGTCAGAAATGAGATGAAAACATGATATGCTTAGCAATTTTTTACCTGTTGCACTGGTTTGCCACAAGTGAGAAATTATTGCTTATTACTAAAATTTCAATCTAGAACCTTAAAAGTTGTTTAGAATTGCTACTGTTTTCTCTTGTCTTCATTTTCCCCCTTTATTAGGTTTTGTGACAGCTTAAAACATCTTGTTTTCCACCATGCCTTCTCATTCTGTTTTGCAGCATAGATTTTTCATGGTTTTTGTGGAAATTTAATGTAACCAGGCATTTTCTGTCAGCGCGCAGCTAACTCAAAATCTGTTTTTGTAAAATTGTTACTTAAAGGTATCTTAACATGCAGTGCTCTGTAGTGTTTTCACTCTCAAAGCTGTGTTTGTGTCTTGGATCTTTTCCAAACTATACAAATCTATGATACTTTGATGATTCTATGCAAAGATTGCTCTGTATATATTGCCTTCTGTCAGCCRGCAAAAGCAGAAAATGAAATATTTTTCTACTGTGGATGTTTCACCATTAGTGTTGTTAGCATAGCTCATGAGCTGTTATGCTTTCCTGGCCCTTCATGCCTAACACACTCAAATGGTGTGGTTGAAGGTAGTTTTATAAAGTCTTATGATGTCAGCTGTAGAGTAATTTTTGGGTAAGTAATGGAGGAGCAAAATGTTTCAGGAGAATAGGAATTAGGAAGAGTGTGTTTTATGTTAAAATTCATTCAGATATGGTTCTAGTGGTTTAATCCCAGCCAGCAGCCAAGACCCACACAGCCACTCACTCACTGCCTCACCAGTACGATCAGAGAATTGGAAGGGTAAAAGCTAAGGAACTTGTGGGTTGAGACAAAGGCAGTTTAAGAGCGAAAGCAAAAGCTGCTCACATAAGCAAAGCAAAAACAAGGAGGTCATTTGCCACTTCCATGGGCAAGCAGGTATTCAGCCATCCTCAGGAGAGCAGGGCCTCTTCACACATAATGGTGACTTGGGGAAACAAATGCCATCACTCCAAATGCCCCATCCTTCCTTCTTCTTCCCCCCACTTTATATACTGAGCATGATGTCACATGGTCTGGAATATCCCTTTGGTCAGTTTGTGTCACCTGGCTGTGTCTCCTTCCAACCTCCCATGTACCCACAAATTCCTTGTCAGYGTGGCAGTACAGAAAGCAGAAAAGGCCTTGGGTCTGTGTAAGCACTTCTGAGCAATAACAAAGCCATCTCTATATTATCAACCCCATGTTCAGCTCAAATTTAAAGTGTAGCCTCATATCTGCCACTGTGAAGAAAATTAACCCAACCCAGCTGAAACCAGCACAATGGTAAACTCCCCATTTTGAAAGACATGCTAGAAGTTTTCTCTGTCTACATACTCTCTGTTAAGCATTCTATGTGAATAGAAATTCTACCATTCTACTGTTCTTCAATGGTATATATTTATATGCATTAACTATGATACAAGACATTTTAATGGAGGCTTGCTAGGTATCTGTTGGCCTGTGTTGCAGCACTGGGAAACTTAAAACATACATGGGATTTCTAAATTGATGTATACTGCCTATTATTTTCATCTACATTGCTTACATTTTCAATATAGCTTCAGTTTGGGAGAAGTTTTGCCATTGAAATAACMAATCAGTGAATCCTTTGAGCATCTAAATGAAATGGAAGTTCTTTTAATACAATTAGATCCTTTGAATAAACAAAGATGAAGTAAAATKCGTGGTTAGGGAAATGACTGTGCTGGGCCACAGTCCTAAATRTGTTTTGCTTAATTTGATCTCAGTGAGACCACCCAGTTGAAGATARTGGGTTTGCACTGGGCCTGTGTGTCAAGAATAAAGCCACAATGCATATGTTACTGGTGAGGCCTTAGATTTGTATTTTAAATAAATAAGGAATCAAATGGAATTGAATGTCACAAGACTAAAGAATAGTTGATGTGGGAAGACAGCTTTTGAAGTCAACTAGTCCAATCCTTTTGCTCTAACCACTTAGAGCAGGTTGCCCAGGACCATTTSCAGTATAGTTTTGATTATCTGCAGCTCCACAGCCTCTCTGCGCAACCTGTCCAGTGTTTGAGCACTCTCACAGAAGAAAGGATAAGAAGGCAAGAYCCCTCCTCACCTTCTCGCTGTCCTTTCTAAGGACCCTGTATCCCTTCATCACAGCACTCCAGTTTTGTTACCTATCCCACTGTTTCTCCATGATTCCAAAGAGATTGTAACCCTGTAACTGCACACAGTCTTCAAACTCCTYCTGTTTATTCCCCCTGCTGCATGTATTGGAGACCTTGGATGGGCATCCAAGTGTGCTGGTTCTGTGGTACAGACTTGAGAGCATTCCTGCAAGGCTATTCTATGGGAACCTCCTTCTCTCCATGCCTATGGGCAAAGGAATTACACTTCAGCTCAGTTGCTTTGTGAATTGCTATGTCCTTTCTCTTACCATCGTCCCAGTCTCTTAGCTTGCCTACCTTATCCTAAGCTTCCTTATTCTGTCCCAAATAATTTTGAGAGTAAAGCTCTCCTGAAGTTCTCCAGCCTAGTGGCAAAGATACTTTTGCCTCATGTAGTCAAGTGGATCCTGTGCCTTCCAAGCAGCTGTTGAGCCTTAGAGAGGATCCCATGGTCATAGAACCATCTTTGAGACTACCAGTACCGAGTCCCATAATGTAATGATAACATAGTCCTAATGCAGAACACAGCTCGATGGTTAATCTTCCTAACAGTCAAAAAGTCCCACCAAAGACCCTGAAGGTCGTGGTCCTTAACACTGTTACAGTTACCCATAGGTGTTCCAAGGTGATCATTCAAACCAAGATTCTGACTGCTTTCAAGGGACATTRGTATCATAGCAGCATGGTACCCACTCACCGAGCTGTTGATCAGACAGCTTGTCTCCTGCTAATGAATATGTCTGTGAGCATGACTTTTTGGGGCAAGCCTAACATCACAAAGACCAGAGATTCCAGACAGGAGTATTCTGTGGCATGCCACAAATGGACCCATTTTGATCCCTTCCACTTTCAGCTTCTAGCTCATTGTACTTGGCTATTGCAATTCACTTCTGGAACAAACTTCAGGGATTATTTTATGACTGTTTTTGACATTGTCATAAAAAATTACTAGTGTGTCTGTTTCTTGTTAATTAATGAATTTGTGAAGTTTTGCTAGCATTGTGCTAAGGCACAAAAGCTGCWTTCACAGTCCTATGAGATAAAATCTGCGAATAAAA